CCCCAAAACCCCAAAACCCCAAAACCCCAAAACCCCAAAACCCCGTTAAAGATTTAATGAATTGAAGAAGAATTAATATAAATGGAAGCTTCTTTCTGGGTCTATATAGTCCTGGTTGCAGTCATTGCAGTCCTCACTCTCCTCATGGAGCTCAGATACATGAGGAAAAAAGCCCCAATTTTGGTATATTTTACTGTGTACATCGGCTGGCTGCTTGGCTTTATCATTGTAGCCACATTGCCATTCGATATATACACCTCTTCTAATTACGACAAGGTGAACCCTACTGAGGAGATGACGTTCATCAGAAATTTTATGAAATGGAACTGGAAAATCCTGTATGCTCTTACATCATCACTGACATGGATAATCTTCCCAATCCAGATGGTCTATGTGGTCAGAGGAGAGTTTTCAAGGTTAAAAAGAATTCTTAAAACTCTTTTAGCCAACCTGATTAGTTACTGTATCTTCATTGCTCTCGGCATTGGACTCTTGCTAGCCATCTACTTCTTGGTGAACAATCACAAGGCAAAGAAGGACAGAGTGGGCATCTTTGACGTGGTCTATGTCCTAACCACAGTTTATGGCCTTTTCCTCATTGTATTCCTGATGTCATACGGGATGGTGGCCTTACCAAAATCTCTCTGGCAAAGGAGTGATTATCAAGATCAGATTAAAAAGAAGTTGTGAAAAGTGAGTGTTATCGAGGAAAAGCTCAATGATCTAAGGATTGACCTCACCAATAACATCTCTGCATTGGAGAATCTTAATGCTGGAGCTGACATGCAGCCTTACTTGTCGATCATTAAGAATGAAATTCAAGATTTTAAAGAAAGAAATCCAAAATTTGAGGAAGAATGAAACTCTTTCGGACACCTAACAGATGGTGGTGATGGCTGTACAGGCAGCGACATTGATGTCCATGATGTTACTCTTTCCAAACTAGAAGGATATAGATCTAAATACAAAATAGAGTTTGGAGACTACGAACGAATTCATGCTATGCTTGAGTTCAACATTAGACAAGTAATGGTTCTCCAATCTTATATTAACGCGAAGGAGTCCCCTAATCTTAGAAGGACGGGGCTTAAAGGATGTAGAAAGATGAAATATTTCTATTACATCCATGCTCATCCAATCCTGCTAAAGGTATTCTGTGTTATTTGTGCTATTTTCTCAGTTGTATTGCTTTACACAGAGTTGACAAATTTCATTAAAATAGATATCTCTACGTTCAGTTGGATAGTAAATGGTCATTTTAATTTCACAGCAACATTTATTCTTCTTTTCGTCCCATTATCGTACATGCTTGCATGCACATATTTCGGATTCTTCAGTGTGAAGTTGGCAAGTTGGTACGAGCTGTATAAAAACCATTCAGATCCGGTATCGATGATCTGGAGTGGAACGATGCTAGCAAGGATGATCTACCCAATGAGCTACAACTTCATCACCCTTGTGCGTGCGAAAAACACAGCTTACAGCGAGGTGCTGACCATTTTAGAAGACTTCACCATTCTTGGAAGAGGCATGAATCAATACTTCTTCCCAGTGGTGCTGGTGGTATTCTTTTTGATGAACCTGTTCAATATTTGGAGTAAGTTGTTCAATTGTCTTGGCCTCAATCAGTTCTCCTTCGACAAACTCGAAGCAGAATCTAGAATACAGGAAGGAAGAATCTCAGTTGATCAGAGAAGGAAAGAACTGTACGAGATGGGAGAGATCGACGATGTCTTCCTTAGGAGCTCTATGTCTAGTGACAGCGAGCCAGAGAATGGCATGATCGGCCAGAAATACTCAATTAATAGCGGAGTTCCAGGTGCTATCTCCCCGATGAAGAAAAGAGACAAAGGCAATGACTCTAAGAAAGGTAAAGTTGTTCGTACCAAAAGGAATAGTTTCCAGCTGGCAGTCAGCGACTCAGATGACGGCAGTCAAACAGATGAAGAGATAGGCAAGAAGGTGATCAATTTCAACGGCAAGGTCAAGTTCAAATCTGTAGATTAATAATCTGACTCAATAAGTTAAATACTATGCGGGGTTTTGGGGTTTTGGGGTTTTGGGGTTTTGGGG